GCGTCGAACTCGACCATCGCTGTCGTTGCGGAGACTTCGCCCATCTCATCCGCCCTTCCGAACGCGCTCGAACTCACGCTCCCCTCCGGCACAGTGTCCGGAGTTGGATTTGTAAACACTGGAAATTCTGGTGAAGCATCATTAGGAATGTCTGCGTAACAGAAGAAACTCATTTTATCTCTTCTCTGTAGGCTTCCATATAGCTACGCAGACACCATATAAGGCATCCTTCTCCTACCGTTTCCCTGCATCTGTCAACTTTAGGGGCTCCCTTATTGTCACCTTACAAGATGGGGACGGGACTGTTCTAGCCACACAGCGCGTATCCATATCAGGGTCGCAGACAACTTGGAAGGCCGTTCAAGTTACTTTGAGCACGAACATCGTATCCGGTTCGGACGCTAATCTGTTTGGAATCTCGGTCGAAGGTGAGGGCGACGCGGGGGCTCTGAGATTCGCGATGCTCTCCTTGTTTCCTCCTACCTTCAAAGGGAGAGAAAATGGAATGCGCATCGACATCGCAGAGGTGCGCAGCGAAGGCTTGTCACTCTGAATTGCTGTTACTCACGTGCGATGTAATCAACAGGCTCTGGCAGAGATGAAGCCGTCCTTTTTCCGTCTTCCAGGTGGAAACAATCTAGAGGGTCAGACAACTGCAACGCGGTGGCAATGGAATAATACGGTGCGTGAGGCTCCGCGACTGCTTCGGCGGTGCTGATTTGTTTCCGTGATAGGTTGGGCCGCTTGTTGACCGACCTGGTTAGCTTATTTCTGGGTTCATCGTCGCCTTCAATTGACCGACTCATTTCCTTAGGTCGAGTGGGTGATTGGGGCTACATTAATACAGAGTACGTGGCAGTGCATACATATTTCATTGTAAGGGCGCTCGTAATATATTCTGCTCTTTCTATTAGCGGCCTTGGACTTGTGGAATACATGAACTGGTGTGAGGATCTGGGAATGGAGGCGATCATGGCTATCTGGGCTGGTTATTCCCTTGGAGGGACTAGTCTGCCGGAGGCAGATTTGCAGCCTTATATCCAGCAGGCAATGGACCAGGTGCGCTCCTCTGTTCAATACTCGCCCAATCGAGATCTGATTCTTGGTCCAGATCAATTTTGTCATCGGCGATCCGAGCAAGAGCGCTGCGGGTATGCTGCTTTTACTTTCCGAAGTTTCACGAATACCTGATTACTTGTGCACTGTAAACAGCCGCTCAACGTGCTGCTCTAGGTCACCCCGCGCCCTATCCGGTGAAATATGTGGAAGTCGGTAACGAGGACTTCTTCGCTGCAGACTCGTAAGTTCTCAAATGGACTGTCCTCTGCATTCCACTGATTAAACGCCTTTTACTTTAGATATGTATATAGGTGGCATGATTTTGTCACTACGTTACAAGCCGAATTCCCCAACACTCGTACGTTTCCTGCCTTGTTTTCGCGAGTTTCTGAACGGAAAACTAACTGGTACGCTGCTTAGACTTCATAGCTACTTCGGACACTTTCAGCCCCATCCTATCTCCAAATCCTACGGAATATGACATCCACGTTTACCAGACGCCAAGTAAGTAGTCATATTTTTGGTATGTATATGTGTATCAACACGGCATCCCCTAGCCTGGTTTGCGCAAAATTCCTTCATCTACGACGGATTTGAGGTATGTACGTACACATAAGAACTTCACTTCAAATTAACGCCCAGTATCAACAGCGTAATGGGACCAAATACTTCGAGGTAAACTTGAGCTGTAGAAACTACGTCAAGCAGTGGCTTCTTGCTAACATGATGTATAGGGAGAGTATGCTGCCATCTCGACAAATGCAAACAATCTATTTGGCTCGCCGGCTCAAGGGCGTCTTACTTTCCCGACTATGCAAAGTGCGTTTCGCATCAAGTTATGTTAGAATAATTGCTGAAACCAATCATCCGGTCAGGTGCGGCTGGCGAAGCAGCTTTTATGACGGGACTCGAGCGTAACAGTGATATCGTGTAAGTTTTGAGATCTTGATCTATCAATAAACGCTTTCTCAGAAACCTTTCGTCTTTAGATTTGCGGCTTCGTATGCTCCCCTGCTCGGTGTATGTTTTTCATTTTGTATACTTTGAGCATTGGTTGACGTGGATTCAATGCATCCAGCATGTCACCAATAACCAATGGGTCAGTCTTATCTTCTTAGTCCCAGAGTCGCTCCCATTAAGATGAAATGTTTTTAGACGCCCAATCTCCTTGCATTCGAGTGAGTATCCGGAACGGACCCGTAGCTCAGATTTTTTTAAACAACTTTTGTCGCTGGTAGTGCCGGGCATGTCTACCGCTCGACTAGCTACTACGTTCAGCAGGTAGATTTGCCTGATACATCTTTCGAGCCCTTCTCACTTATTTTGATAGCTATTCAGTGTTAATCGCGGTGATGAGTATCTTCCCAGCACATTGCCGGATCAGCTAGGCACCGTTTTTTGGAGCGTCGTTCGCAACACAGCAGCAAAAGAAATCGTAATCAAGGTGAACTTTCCCCTTTCTTCTGACGACCGATTGAGTGAGCTCATCCATATTTCAGATTTCGAACGTCGACTCTGCTCCCGCGCTTTTAACCTTTGTCCTTCCCTTCGAACAGGTCGGCGCCAAAGCAACCTTGCAGCTACTGACTGGCAACGCCACTGCCAGCAACACACCGGCGACCCCTAATTTATTCGCCCCGGTTACCAGCTCCATCACGGCTGGCAAAACGTTCAACTTCACGGCCCCCGCAGTCAGCGTTAGCGTGATCACCGTTCAGGCTTTCTGAAAATACAAATACAGTGGTTGATAGTGTAATGTATTTAGGCTACCTTGGAGCAAAATTGAATGCATGATGTTGGCTGTACTCATGCTGATCAAAAATTTCTACATGTTCGCTTTTTGGGATCTTAAAATCTCAAATGGCTCTTTGACGCCCCGAATTGACTAGGTAGAATTGAATGAGTCTCCGAGCTGTGAAGAGACGTGAAGCGCATCATTACCATGTCGTAGGTTCAATCGATTGTAAAGTTCTTTGTTGATCTTATCAAATGCCACTGCGAGAGTACTCAAGTACTCTTCGGAATTATGGTCAAACATGTTCCCCGCCGGTACATCAAGCTGATAACAGTAGAGAGGTTAGCTAGCAGGGATCTCCGGTTTTAAAACCACTTGCCGTGAATGACGGGCCATATAATGGGAATCCGCCGTGATCGGGGATTTCAGTCTCCAAGCTCAGCGGACTGCCAAGCTGCGGAGGAGTGAGTGCTCCGAATGTGAGTCAAATAAGAAACTTGCCGCAATAGACGTAAAATAAGACCATGCTCTGGCAGCATTCGGTGAATTGTATCCTCCTTGGAATATTTGAGCATACACAGAAGAGGAAATTCAATGAAATCGGCGTAGTAAATCACCTCCTCCCAGCAAAAGCTTCTTCCCAGGCCATTCATTTATAACTTTTTGCACACACCATCCCATTGAGCCTGCACTGTCTCCAAGTGACCAATTGAAGGTAGCACACGGGTCTCCAGCAAGAGTGTCCACGCCACATTGGAGCACGACAAAATCCGGGCTGAAAGTATTTTTGACTTGCTCGACCAGAGGCCATATCCGTGCGTATGTCGCGTCCGATGCCCCTTGTTTTAGTGGCAGGGATAGGGTGAAAGGATCAAATTCTGGGCTCATTACGTCTGGCAAGGCCGCACGCTCAGATACCGGGAAAAAGCCAGGGGATGAATGGTGTATACTAAGCGTCTGGTCACAATATGTAAGTATTCTGTTTGATGGTATCAATATGGAATTCACCTACCAGTACTTGTGGAGTAGCTGAAGATATGGACGAGTAAAAAGCTTCGGATACAGCGTCGGAAAAGTGCAGATCCAGATCGAGATACATTATCCTGGGTTTCTGAGAAATTGCTTCTGGTATGGGCACATCTTTAAGCTGGACCGGGAGTCTTTTGAGAGTCAGTATTGCCAGAATACAGTCTGCGACGTAGCAGAAGCCGGATGCTTGAGATTTTCGAGCATGGTGCCTAGTCATTGCAAATGAGATCGACTAAATCGACGGCAATAGTGCGAGGACAGTACTACCTTCCACCATCCCAACAAAGGGCGATATCAGTTAGGTTTTGTTGCAGCGCTTTCGTTGCAGTCAAAGTAGCTCCACCCACAAGTTGAACATACTCTGCCAGGCCAGCAAACATGGGACAATCCTACCACGTACGTGTGAGTAACTTTGTTTTACGGTTGGAACATGGCTGTGGACATGCATCTTCTAGACCGAGCTCTGCGTTGAGCCCTGGTTCACTTCCCGAGCGTTGTCGATCCGACGTTCTGTCCAACACAACCTCAAGATAATCACGAGTATGGTATGCAGCGAGTTCTTTGTAGGTGGCTTTCCGGGGAGAAATCACCTCAAGCCGCCGCTTGCAGGTCGTTGTAGTATTGTTCAATAGGCCCAGTGAACTGACTAGGGAGTGAACTATCACCGAACGTTTCCTGTTAGAAGGAAGTAACGACGAAATCTGCAAGATTATTACATCGTAATTGTCAGTAAAGCCTTCTTCAAACTCCTGTCAGACAAGTTTCTTACTCTGGCTAGATCTTGAGATCCAATGTACACCACGGCTGGCGGCTCTTGGTCGCCCAGCATAATCACTTGAGGTAAGAAGCTGCAGTAGGAAGTTGACTCGTGTAGGGCACCGACGATAATCACACTTGGGCGTTGGCTGCTGGGAGACGCGACGCGAGTGCTGCCATCATGATATCAAATTCAATTCGATTTTCGCACTCGACCATTCAGTACTCCCATCAAACTCTCATCATAAATTAAAATACTTACAAGTTGCTTCCAACGTTAAAGTCGTTGATAATATGTAACCAAGGCACAGAAACCGCGCTGATCTGCTAAAAAGTCAGAAGGTGGACACTTTTGAAAGTCTTGTGCAGTCGAAACTTGAAAGTTGGAAGCGTTGAGTTCAAATATTTTTCAGTAAAAATATGGACGCATTGGGAATTGAACCCAACACCTCTCGCAAATCACTACGACATTTGTGCTAAGCGAGCGTGATAACCAACTACACCATGTGCCCTTCGTATTGGTGCCTGAGGTGATTCTTCGGCACGGGCGCCTATTTAAGAATAGCAGAAAAGGCAAAACTGGACGCATTGGGAATTGAACCCAACACCTCTCGCAAACCACCTCAATTTGTGCTAAGCGAGCGTGATAACCAACTACACCATGTGCCCCTGTATGCAAATTTGGAGCATATACTTCCGGCCGTAAACGCGTATGTTAACACACATTCTGACTTGCTTTGGACTTGCCTGCTTGTAAGTTGTAAGTACTCGGTAGGTACAACAATCGATTTTACTTAACAAGTAAAGTGTATGAGCGGCAAGCAACAAAAAACCCTGCCTTACAGCGGTTGTCATACGTGACATGCATTTAATTACGGTGCCTACCATTCGGAACTCGTCCACATTGGCTGCTCTGAAATGCAGATTGACAACAGATTGAAGAATCAAAAGATTTACATAAATATTTGTACAGCTGACGTACATTAATAAAGCTGCCAGTAAGTAACGGAAGTATTGTTGATACAACATATTGCTAGCATGGTATTCCTACTTGTCCGAGTCAGGGTCCGGCTCACACTTGTACGGCAAACCAATGTTTCGTCGATTATACCCGACCAACAGATCATTTGACTTGATATACCGAGTCAGGAAGCCACCAAATGTCAGACCACAGAGGCATCCCAAATATGATGCACCGTCTGTCTATAATATACGCACATCATCAATTCCACGGTGAGAATTGTGCGAAGCTGTGCCACATACCCTTCCGATGCTTATGAACATGATTTCCGTACTCTTCTTGTATTCTCTTTTTGGAAGACGCCCCTCAAGATAATTCATTACATTTGCGATCACCACGGGGGCATGACCGAAGGATATCTTGGTGAGCTGTTTGGTTTCCGGCCAGTCGATTATGTCTCCCAACGCAAAAATATTGTGGTGGTTTTGCATCTGGAGTGTTGGCATCACCTTTACATATCCTCGGTCGGTGAGTACAGCTGGGCGGAGAAATTTAAGGAGAGAGGTGTTTGGACGGCCACCACGGGCGTATATCTTAGAGGCTATCAGACTTTTGAGCCACCGAAAGAAAATAGACGACATACTACTAGATCACAGGGTAATGATGTTCCGCTTCCGGTTGTGAGAATGCCTTTAGGTTCTAGTGTACCATCGAGAGTGTCATTGAAGACGATGTTAACGCCTTTCCGACGCAGTCGGCGCTCGATATCCATTCGGAACTTTTCTGGATACGTTTCGGCAAGGAGTAGATTATTTGCTTGGACGATGGTGGTGCTTTTGGACTGCAATAATGAAACCCGTGTCAGATAAGCGCCGGTGAGCCTAATGCTGTGCAATTATTTAATTACCGGAAATGTATCTTTAATCTCTCCCGCGATTTCTGGCAACACCGCTTTTAAGCAAACATACTGAGGGGTAGAAGTCGGAGGTGCTCACCGATACCCACGGCGCCACCACCGGCAATGACAATATTCTGGGAGGTTTTGATTTTTTCGCGCCAACTTGATATATGTTCCCTGAACGCCAGTTCGTCGTTGGGGAATGCGAGATGTCCAAGCCAGCATGACCCAGTAGCGACGATGAGGACGTCGTACATAATCTTCTCGCTGCCATCGACGACGACGAAGCCCCCCTTCGATATCAGAGGGTCCTTATTCTCTTCGATAGAGGTGACCGTGCCGATTTTGAGTTCCCCAGGGAAACTCCCGAATACTTTGTCATACGACATGAAGACAGAGCTGAGGGGAGCGTCGGCACTAGACAAGACACGCAGTGCACTTGGAAGATAGGTGAAACGTGGTCTGGCAGTAACCAGAATCAGCCTGTGTTTTGACTTGAGCAACTTCGACGATAGGCCACGAACGACTGTGGTACAGACGAAGTCCAGGTGAGTCAAAATTGTTCCAGAGTCTGGTTCTAGTCAGGCTTGCCTTCAACCCCTGCTATGCCACCGCCTACAACTACAACAGATAGGCGATTATCTGGAGTATGTTCTTGGATTTGCATGGTTTGAATAAAAATGGCTAGAAAGTGGGAAACCTGTCACTATCACTAGTAGGCCTGCAGTTACCCATCCCTCCCACTTATATATATCGTTTGGTTCCTCAGGCTATTTGTAGTATCATCAGAAGATGTGATGTAAAACGAGCTAGTTATAAGCGAGCCAAAGAGAATGCATCAGCGGTTTGACGGACGGACATGACTTAAATCTTCTCCAATTAGGCTGCGTTCGGAAACATAATTCTATATTATCAGACGGAATTATTCCCATATATGGCAGCCAGATTATTCGTCACCTGCTTTAATGATCTCGTGCATCTGTGACCTGATGTGACCATTATCGCCCGGTCTAGACTGTGATGATAATTAATTGATAGCTTGATGGCCGTAATTGAGCCGTTGTTACCCTATTCGAACTTCCCGGGTCAAATCAAAGTCCAGGAAGGTGATGTCGCTGCCTTCCTTGTTTGAAAATACATGTATTGTTGCTTTTCAGGAGCTKKAAAAAAAGGAGAAGGGAAGYTTACCYGTATTGATAAACTTGTGCTCAAGTTTTGGCTTTACAGSTGACTACCYAATATCTCTGCTATTTTCAAGCTCATTGAAGACATATARTGACAAMTGTAAATAGTGTACTTAACCTACCTTGAATAGGGTAAATCCTAATGGAAAACAAACGGCCGAATTGTTTTTACCATGCCAACATCAAGCCGATTTTTGCCGATATAGCAGAAATGATCCGAAGGTCCTCCTCCGAGGACGGGCACATTTCATCCCAATTCAGCTGTCACTGGGAGGAGGGCGTGATGACATGTGATCTCCATCTCCATCATAATTCCGTCTGATAATATGGAATTATGTTTCCGAACGCAGCCTTAGATCGTCTTCCAGCGATCACGGTTGAGCGTGGCGGTGATCCACACTTTGTCCGGGTAAGGCAAACATTGCCCACGCTTCCCTGGTCGTTGTCCACAGCGACGACACGTCCCTTCGCTGTGGACAAGTAATATGTCTCTTATATGTGACACCGAGTAAGTATGCGTCGTCCTGTCGTTGCTTTGACTCATCCACTCCTAGTTTCCTCATTCACAGTCTGCGTCTCGCGTATCTGCGCGACGTCGACGACCCTTATGGATCTAGAATCATTTCCTTCGATCCATCTCACCAAAACAACCCTTACATCATATCTGCGTCCCTGGCGGACGTTGACCGATGCCCACAACTGGCCCTACCAGCCAGTCCGAATCTGAGTGAAGATGAACAGGATCGCCCGCTTGGGTTTCCAGGTGCCCGGCTGAAGCACACGCACACGATTATGGGGGGACGTACGGGCGGGTTGGGCCTCCGCGTGAACGCAAAAGTGGCGTCGACGTCGAAACGGATGTCTCAAACACCCCGCAACCTGGATCTGAAGAAATTTGTCGCCGATGCCGCACCTGTGCAAGAGGCCGCCATTCCGAGCGAGAAGAGCTTCGTCCAGTCGGCCCCGGGCGAGGATAGTTGGATCAAGCTCGACGATTCGGACAGTGCAAACTCGCCAGAGCCAACAGTGCAGGTGCATCAAGCGACTGCGCCTGAGGTGGAAGAGGCTCCTGTCACGAAGGTTGTCCAGTTCATCCCCAAATTCAAGGGCGCGGCCGAGATGGAGGCACGGCGGCGGGTCCGCATGGCAGCGCGTCGGGGACCCGGCGGTGCACTTACCGCGCAGCCTGCTCAGCGGCCCAATCTCGACTTTTCGTCATCCGAAGACGAAGTGGACAATCCTACGTCATACGCTTTCGACGAGACGGTGGTGGATAGCATGGACGAAGGGGATGAATTCGATCCGTAAGCCCCCTTATGTTCGAGTCTCTTATTTACTCATTCCATTACGCAGGGAATTCGCTGCAACGCGCACAGGCGTTACGTTGGACAGCGCTTCAGACGTTACTTCTGTTTTCTCTCCAGCTACGGTCAACTCATCTGTCCCTGCTTCGACTTCGCAAAATGTCCACCGCTCTCATGGTCGATTAAGCCCCGTTTCCGAACATACTGGACATATGCAGAAACAAATAAGCAGAACGGAAGACGGTTCTCGTGCGAAACGGATTGACGGCCCTTCGCGAAGCAGAAACAACAGTGCGCCTAATATTGGTCAACCTAGTACTTCACACCCAGTGCCAACTTCTGAGAAGCTATTCTTGCGCAAAAAGGTCCAGCCAATGAAACCTCTCAAGTCGAGCTTGTCAGCCATGTTAGCATCGTCTGGTAGCTCGTCGAATCCGTTTGCAGAAATGTATGCCAACATTTCGGGTCGCGGAGAGTCAGCTTCAACCAACGTGCAGGTCTATTTTATGCACGCAACACACCCGCACGGGAAAGCCATGGAGCTCAATGTCCGACGCGATGCTACGGTGGAAGAAGTTATTGGATTCGCACTGTGGAACTACTGGGAAGAGGCTTGGCTTCCGAAGCTCGACGAAGGTCTTAGCGGCGAAGACGATCCAATGTGGGCAACAAGGCTGTCGGCTATTGGCTGGATTCTCAGGATAGCGGAAGACGATGGCGAAGTGGACGATGATTTCCCGCGTATGTTACAGATTTGCATGTCTTCTATTATTGAACATATTGACGGTTGCCTTTTTGTAGCACCGGATCGATTGGAAAAGGTTGCCAAATTCTCAGAGGCGTATGCTATTTTGGAAGCGACGCCCGCGCAAAGTATGTTCAATGCACACGTTGAACTTTGATATCATTGTTAATTCAAATTTAGTCCAACAGAACAGGGTACTGGAAAGCAAGATCCAAAGGCGGCCGTCCCGCACAGTTGCAAAGAAGCCTGTGGATAAAGTCGTGGTGCCAAATCAGGCCATTTCCTTGGCAGCGCCAGCAAGTGCTATGCATGGATCGAGTCTGGGATCTGTGTTATCCACATCGTTGGGACCTTCATCCAGTCATGGACCACAGATATTCTTGCGTATTCATACCGCAGATGCTGTCCACATATCCACAA